TTGTTGATTAGAGAAGATAATTAGATTTCTTGTTTGATTCTTGCTTTAATTCTCATTTTACCTTGTTTTCCTTGTTTTCTTTACTATGATTGCTTAGATTTTGTTCTAGGGAAATGAATGAATGTTATGTTAATGAATTGAATGATTGATTGTGATTTGTCTGCAATTGATTCTTGATTATTGTGTGTGGATGATGTTTACATTGCTTAGAGTCTTTTTTGCTAATTGATTCTAGGTTTCTAATTGTGCTTTCAATCACTTGTGCGGAAGTGAGTTGATTGAGAGCTGATTTTTCCATACCTATGTTAGGCTAGTTGCACAAGAGTGAATTAGCTTAGTAGGATAATTAGCATGCTTAATTGCGCGGGAGGGATTTAAGTGTGTTGATTGTTCCTAATTGAGATCATGATCATCTAATTGCAATTTGTTGTTGAATTCATTAATGTAATTGGATTCTCCTTTCCCTAGTATTTTGATGATTGTTTAAAGTAGTGTTTTAGTTGTTCCTCTCTCTACCTCACATTCCTTCCTACTAGTTTAATTAGCTCATATTAATACACTTAGTCCTTGTGGTTCGACTTCGAACTTGCCTCTATGATTTCTTAGTGGTTAGTTAGGAATTTATAAATATTATTTGATAGTAGACGGTTAGTCGACGACCTAACCATCACCTACTTATCAGGCTGAGGGGCGGTGGTGCAGGTGGGGTGTGTGCGCGGAGGGGGGGGGGAGGTTGAAGGGAAGGAAATAGATTAGTGTAGGCATCGTAGGAGTTGGATTTATCACAAGTGAATGTGCTTGGCTATTGTAACATGTGTAAACACCTTTTAATGGGAAATAAATAATCAAGTGTTCCTAATTAATGACATGAATTGGATGTTCATTTTATTCGATGGGATGTTCATTCTCAAAAAATTAAAAGTTCACTTTCATTTACCTTATCTAGGGGTGAAAGTAATTTGGATAAAAACCGAAAACCGATCCAAACCGAACCGAAATAGCAATTCGGATCGGTTTTTTTCGGTTTTCGGTTTGGATCGGTTTCAAAAAATCAAAACCGAAATATTTCGGTTTGGATTCGGTTTTGGGCTTCCAAAAACCGAAAACCGAAAATCCAAACCGAAATTTATGAAGCCCAAATATCCCAGCCCATTTCTCCTACCCTACTTATATATACTAAAGCCCTAAAATACTCCTCTCTTATCCCAGTCTTTTTTTCCCCTCTTCTGCGGCACATTCCTCACCAAACCCTAATCCTCCAAAATTTCCCCATTTTCTCCCTCACCACCTCAGTAGCTCCGACCACCACCTTCCTCAGTTCGCTCACCACATATCCGGTCAACGTCTATCACCATCAGTTCGCTTGTGTTCGTGGCTTCTTGCTCCCGCAGTTCTCGTTTCTCACCGCCGCTTGTGTTCGTGGTTTTGTGCTCCCTAAAATTACCACCAGTTCACCGCCGCGGCGCCGCTCGTGTTCGCGTTCCCTCACTATCTCCTCTCACTCAGTCATTCAAGGGTAAGAATTCTCCTTTTTTGCTTCTCTTCTTCTTATTAATTTCACTTTCGTTCTGTTAATTTCACTTATCTTTTCCTGCTTTTCTTCTTCTTAGATGTGTACTCATTTCCCACTTCTCTTTTCAAGTTTTCATTCAATAGTTCTGTTCTGTTTGAATTCGTTAATTTTTTGTTCGATCTGTTCGAAATTGGCTAATATGATGACATTGATATGCTATAATGTTTAAATTGGCGACATTGATGTTTTGTTTGTTTGATTATATTGATTTCCTTTTCTTTATTTATATATATTATGTAACATGTTTATTTTTTTTATTGTTAGATATCGTTGAGCTTGATTGTTTGAAGCTGCCATGTTGAAGAAATGAAGAAGTTGCTGCCTGCCATGTTGATTCTAGCTGCTGTCAATCTACCATATTGATTTTAGTTGATGTTATTATGGTTTTAGCTGCATGTAGACTCATTGTAGACTGTTATTCCATTTTAAGACTTTTATCGTGTTTGTAATTTTATTCTAGTGGCTGTACAAATTTTTTTATTATGATTTTCCCTTAATTTGGCAAATTTTTGGCTTAAAGACCAACTATTGTAATTCACCAATTTAGGCCTACAAAAGGGCCAAAACAAACTTCCGATTAAAAGCCCAATTTTAAGGCCCAAATCAACAGCCCAAAAAAATTCGGTTTGGATTGGATCCATTTTTCAAAACCGAATTATTTCGGTTTGGATTGGATTGGATTGAATCCAAATTCGGTTTGGATTCGGTTCCAAGAATCAGAAACCGAAATAATTCGGTTTGGATTCGGTTTGGGGTATAATCCAAACCGAATACCGAACTTTCACCCCTAACCTTATCAAAGTAATAGGTTTTTATTTTTGTATTCATGTTATATGATGTTCATCCTCCATAATTAAATGTTTATTTTAATTTAATGTTACATGATGTTCATTCTTACAAAATTAACAATTCATTTTCATTTCCAACTAAAATGTATTTTTGTGTTTCTCATTTTTTGAGAATGTCCATTTTTATGTTAAAGGATGTTCAATTGACATGTTTCATTCACATTGACAAATTGAAGCTGAAAATAAAAATTGTAAAAGCACAATTGGAAAAATTGCAAAAAATATAAAGGCATATCAGATTATGTTAATATGATATTTCTCTTAATAATTACAAAATGTTCATATATATTAAATGGATTGTTCATACGTATTATATGTAATGTACATCAATGATATTTAATGTAAATAGGTATAATATAAAGACCTTGAGTATTTTGAACAATTTTAAAAGATAGTATCAAAAGACAAAAGAATACCAAAAGAACGACTACATAGCATGAAAATACAAAATGTTCAACAAAAGGCAGACAAAGATAACGGATGCAGTGCAAGTAAAGGAAACTGCTCAATTGAAGTTGCTAAATAAATTATTATATTCATTGTATGTTAATTTCAATTTTTAAAATAATTATTTCTTCTTATTATGAGTTTCTTTTCCATTTAAAATTATGTTCATTATTATTTGATGATATATTCATTTCAATTTTCAGATATTCATTTTCAGTTTCAACAAAAGACAGTCAAAGATAACGGATGCAGTGTAAGTAAAGGAAACTGCTCAATTGAAGTTGCTAAATAAATTATTATATTCATTGTATGTTAATTTCAATTTTTAAAATAATTATTTCTTCTTATTATGAGTTTCTTTTCCATTTAAAATTATGTTCATTATTATTTGATGATATATTCATTTCAATTTTCAGATATTCAGTTTCAGTTTCAAAACTAGATTAGTACCCGCGTGTTGCACGGTGGTCGTAAGTAATTTTTTCATATTTCTTTTATATCTTTTGTAGTTAATAACTTTTTAACATGACTTGTCTTTTTTTTTTTTTGTATTTGTAAAAATAAAGTTTGTTACATAAATATATATATATAAAAAAAAACGTGTACATTCTTTTTTTTAAATGGTTATAGTTAAATGCTACATCATAATATTTACTATGCTATTGAAAATATACTAAAATGATGGTTAGACAAAATATATTTAATATTGCATTATCTAATGAGCTTATACATTTAGAATGGAAGCACAACAATATTGATGTCAAAGTCAAGTTTCGGATTTTTAGTTTTATACTTGATCCCAGCCGTTTTCTAGCAAGTTAAATGAAAAGGCAAAAAAAGTAAAAAATAAAAATTAAGACATCATATATAAATTTGGAGGAAAATTTTTTTAATAAGAGTTTGACACATAAGACATTATAGAAATTGATGACATCAGCATGTTTTGTTTTAGTAATAGTTAATAGATATATTTAATCACAAAATATTTTTTTTTGTATTAAATGTTTATATTTCAAAACGAGGGACCAACTAAATTTGGCTCGATGCCTTGTCGGGAGATTACGCAAATTTTTAGCTGGTCTCAAGTCCAGGCGATTCTGGCTGGTCCCTCATTTTGAAATTGAACATATAATATAATAAAAATGAACATTTTCTTGCTATAGGATATTTATTCTTACAAAATTAAATGTTCATTTTCATAATATCAGATGTTCATTCTTATAATATTAATGTTCAAAATTTGGCAAAATGTTCATTCTTGTAATATCAGATGTTCATTCTTATAATATCTTATATTCATTCTTATAATATCAGATGTTCATTCTTTTAAGGCTAAATTAGAAAATAACACCTGTTAAAAGACCTAATTTTGTTTTTAACACCTTAAGATTTCGAAGTTTAATTATAACACCTGTTAAAAAATAAAAATTTTGCTTTCACCACCAGATAACAGAAACTGTGACGGAATTTTTTGGTGGGGCCCACATAGTCGTTTACCCTCCAAATTCCATCCCCTTCAATTCGAATTTATCTTCTCTGTCATTTATTACCACCCAACTAATTTTGCTTCATTGAATTTCGTCTGCAAATCTTGAACAACCAAAATTACTGCGAACATTCAAACCCTATACTGATTATTGTGATTGAGAAATTGAGTTGGAAGAGGAGGTGTCAATATTGGAGCGAAACAAGTCAGCGAGATTCCGTCAGCCATTTCCAACATCCAAAAAGCTTGGACTTTTTCGTGGATTCTGACAGCAACAGGAGTAAGATTCCGATACAAGTACCTTTCGAACCCTTTAAGGTAGTTTTCAACAAGTACTGTGTGCTGCATTATGCCATTTGTGTGGGTGTAGTAGGGTAATTTGGGAAAAAAAATTAGGAACCCTAAGAACAGTAAAATGGGTTAATTTGTAATTAAAGTTAAATTTGATTAAATTAAGTATGATTTAGTGTAATGTGTGAATTATTTAGTTTAAATCATTGATTTTATTGACTGTTGACTGGTTTGTCATTGTGTTGGTTTAAATATGTTTGATTTTGTTGATTAAAGTATTGCGGTTGACTGTGTAATGGGGTTAGCTATGTTGGGTTTTATTGATTTGCTTTGCATTTGTTTATTAGGTAGAAAAATGGCCGACAACGAAGATGGATTAATTGATATAGTATTTAGAGTAGGGGGTGCTTTTGTTACTAAACAAGTGTCAAAATCAAAGCATTTGCTTTGTTGGTGTGGTGGGCTATGTTATTGGAGGAGGGATGTGGTAGTGGATAAGATAGATTTGCATTATTTGAGGGTAGCTGCTGTGCATGGGTTTGTGAACTTTAATGTCCATGTCCCACCTAACTACAGACTTTGGTATAAAGAAAGAGGTAGGACCTTTAACACAGGGAGAAGGGAGTTAGTAAATGAAGAGGAAGTGAAGGGGCTGCTGGAGACAGTGAATGGGGAAGGGTATGTTGAAGTATTTGTGACTGCTAATGAAACATTAAGGCCCATACATGAGATCCAGGCCCAGTCCACTCCAGTAAAGGCTGAGAGAAAGGGGAAGAAAAGTTCAGGTAAGCCTGTTGTAGTTAGGAAGAGCCCAAGAATTGACAAAAATGAGCCTAAGGTGAGGGAGGGTGAAGAATCTCCTAAACCTAGATCTAGACAGGGGATAGAAAGGGTTGAAGGGGTTTCTGCTGAGATTAAGGGGGTTCCTGGTAAAGGGAAGTTGTTGAGTAAGGGGAAACAAAAGGGTAAAGATAAGCTTGAAAGGGGTTCTGGCAGTGTGAAGGTGTTGGATAAGGGAAAGGGAAAAAAAATTTGTAGGCAAAGGATTGATTTTTGAGGATAGTAGTGAGGGCAGTGAGACTGGGAGGGAAGATGATTTTTCTTCAAGTGATGGGAGTGAGATTGACATAACTTGGGAGCCTGGAGAGGAGGAGTATGACAGTGGGGATGAGAGGTGGTTTGTGCAGAATTCTGAAGAAATTTTAGCTAAGGTAACAAGAAGTCTTGGGAAGCAGTTTGATGTACATGATGAGGGGGTTTCCAAGGATCCAAAGGCAAGGTTGACAGATAACTTGGATGTGAATGAGGTACAACTACAAGAAGAAATTGAGGGAGAATCAGATGACCTAAGGAGCTTGGATGGTTCATCTGATGAAGAGGACAAAAGTCCATGGTTTAATGACAAATCTGACTTCTCAAAGCCTGTTGTACTTGTTCATAGGCTTAGGTTTAGCAATGCTACAGTGTTGAGGAAAGCTTTAAGAGTGCATGCCATACAGAATAGGTATGAGTACTATTTTTTACACAATGATAGTACTAGGATTACTATTCAGTGTAGGAATAGGTGTGGGTGCAAGTTTGACACAAAGACAAGTAGGATGCCTTTGTGTATATGCAGGGGTGGAGTGAAGTGTAGTTTCAAGATCCATGCTACTAAGTTAAAAAGACAACAGACTTGGCAAATAAAAACCATGAAGTTGGAGCATAAATGTGTGAGAAGCAGGGAGAACAAGAAGGTCACAGCAGAGTTCATTGCTGAGAGGTATCTTGAGGATTTCAGAACTAACCCATCATGGAAGGTTAAGCAAATCAAGGATAGGGTGCTTCATGACTTGGGGGTAGAAGTGACCTACTACAGGGCTTGGATGGCAAGATGTAGAGCTAAGTTGATCATTTTTGGTTCAGCAAGAGAGCAATATGCTAGGGTATGGGATTATGGGAAGGATGTAATGAAATACAACCCTGGGTCTGGTTGTAATGTTGTGATTGATGGCATTGAAAAGCCTGAGCCTCCCTTGTTTATGAGGATGTTTATTTGTTTAAGGCCTTTGAAGGATGGGTTCTTGAAGGGTTGTAGGCCAATTATAGGGGTGGATGGCTGCCACTTGAAAGGAGGTTATCCAGGCCATATTTTAGTTGCAGTCTCCAAGGATGGGAACAACAGCATTTACCCCATTGCTTGGGCAACTTGTGAGGTTGAAAATAGGGAGACTTGGGTCTGGTTTCTGGAATCCTTGATGCAATGCATTGGAAGTGCAGATGGGGCAGGCTTCACCTTCATGTCAGACAGGCAGAAGGTAATATTGTTTTGATTATTGTAGTCTTATTTTCTGTCCTGTTCTTTATTTTTTGAAGTGTGACAAGTAATTGTTGATGATGTTAAACAGGGACTGGTTGAAGCTCTGTCTGAAGTTGTGCCTAATGCAGAGACTAGGTTCTGTGTTAGGCACATTTGGGCAAATTTTAAGTTGAAGTTCACTGGATCAGTTTTCAAAGAGCTCTTTTGGAGTGCTACAAGAGCAACAACATTTGTAAGTCTCTAGGTGACCTTAAATTATTTTGAATAAGTAAATGCATGATATTGTTCATGTTCATGTACCTACTTCATGTAATAATGTTCCTGTTGTGTATAAAAGCAAAATAAGAGCAACAACAGTTGTGTATGTTATTCTTTCATGATAATGTTCCTGTTGTGGTTGTAGGTTGAGTTTCAGATAGCCACGCAACAGATTAGGGAGCTTGATGAGGATGCTTACAATTATTTGGAGAACATCCCCACTCATCACTGGTGCAGACATGCATTCAGTGACAGTTGCAGGTCCAACATGTTACTAAACAACATGTGTGAGACTTTCAACTCTGTTATCAGAGATGCAAGAGACAAACCTATCCTCACCCAAATGGAATGGATGAGGAGGTACATGATGAGGAGAATAATGAGAAGTGGGAGGACTCCAAGGAAATCACAACCAACATCACTCCATATGTGCATAAGCTATTTCAGAGGATGAGCTATGTGGCTAGGAATTGCATAATTGAAGCTGCCAGGGATGACACTTATGAAGTGCAGCTGAATGATGACCAGGTTCTAGTTGACTTGCCAAATTGGTCTTGTTCCTGCAATCACTGGCAATTAACAGGCATCCCATGTATTCATGCATTTGCATGCATAATGGATCAGAGGGTTGATGCTGAGCAGTTTGTCCACCCCTATTACACTATGGACACTTACAGAGCAGCATATGAGCCTGCAATTCAACCTATGCCAGGCCCAAAGCATTGGGAGAGAGTGAACATGAGAGAGCCTCATCCACCAGCATTCAAACAGCAGCCTGGAAGACCTAAACAGAAGAAGAGGAAGCTGGAACCTGGGGAGGGAACATCTGCAACAGGAGGGGAGCAGGGAAGAAAGAGGAGGAAAAGTCAGTGTAGGATTTGTGGTGGATTTGGCCACTATCCCAAGACTTGCAAGGGTCCACATGAACCTGAACCAACTGAGCAGAGAACTGCAGGAAGGCCTCCTTTAAATTCACCTTGGGTAGTTGAGCAAAGGAAGAAGAGGGAGATCAAAGCTGCTAAGAAGGTATGCTGTTGGATTTGTAACTTTTCTTTTAAAATTTGTGATGAAATTGGATGTTGATACTTGTTTATTGGTATTTGTGTTTAATAAACAGAGTGCAATAGGGGTTGGTCCAAACAGCATTGGGAATAGGACTTTTCCCCAAGAGCAACCTGGCTGTGAACCATTGAGTAAGAGGAAAGGTTCACACAGTCAACAAGGGCAGCCACAAGCCAAGCATCACACCACCCCCTCTTCCAGCCAACCTGAACCCAATGCTACTGGAGTGCAGACAAGGAGGGCTAAGCTGCTGACTTCCAGACAAGGAGGGCTGACACAATGATGTTTGAATTGTTTTTCTGAACTTTAGTTGTTGGTTGTATTTTCAGAACAATCAGTTGCAATATTTGTAGCTTTACTTTTGGGTATAGGACAAGGATCTTGTTTTGTTAAATTAATACTTTGCTTTAAGGCTTTACCAGCCAATTTTGTTAGGCACTGCAACAACAAATTTGATCAACAACTTAAATGCAATATCAACTACTTAGGTACTTACTTAATTCTTTGCTTTCATAATTGTGTACATTAGTTTGCTTGCAATAGTGGTTCACTGCCACTTATAAATCATTACATTACCATATTACTGTTTCATGCAATTACTAGCATTACAAGTTATACTTAATGCATTACAAACCCCCTAATAAGAAGGATCACTAATATGACCAAACTAATCCCAACAGCAAGACTAAGAACAGAGTGATCTGATCTAGCATCCCTTCCATGCATCTCTCTGTTCATCTTGTTCCTGTCAGAGTTTAAAGCCTTGCATTTCATTTTCAGCCTGTCCACTTCATTCAGCAAACACCTCAACTGTCCACCAAGATCATCAACTTCCCTCTTGTAATCACTAATTTCCCCCTTCAACAGTTTCTTATCTAGCAACAAATTGTTGATCACCTCTGTTTGCCAGGCTGTCCCATCTTGTTCATCCACCCATTCAAATGCTTTACAACCTCTACTCTCAGTTACAGGATCGTAGAACTTGCATGTTCTGAACTTACGACCAGGGTTCTCCCTTGTCCAACTGGTAAGCTTTGCAAAGGGAACACCACATTTGCACTTCTTCTCCTTTGAAGGTGAGAAACTTGTAGAAGACATTTCCTGCACCAATTTTCCATCCATAATAAGCAAAACCATTCGTACTATGAAAAAAATACAATTGAACCAAGGGAATTAAACAGTCACTCCTACAAATCAAAACCCCCAAATTATTTCTACAATGAACCCTAATTTCATTTTCTCGCAAATTACAGCACAATTAACACACAATGAACCCTAACTATTTACGAATTACATGACTATTGCCAGATACGACCTGAATTATGCATTTAAGTCAACAACATATAGATTAATTTACGCCTTATTTTTGAAAGATAAATTAGGGTTTCTAAAGTGCTATTGACGCAATTACCTGATTTGATATCTACATCCCCCAAACAATGATGGTAAAATCAAACAATTTCGCCAATTTGTTAGTCAGAATTCGCAAAATGTGAAGCAATTTTGTGTAATCAGCTCAACAATTCTACATTAGTGAAGGATGTCGTAACTATATATAGCAGTTTGGAAAAAATAGCCGTTATTGTGGGCCCAGCTAACAGATCCTCTAACGTTGTTCCAATTTAGGTGGTGAAAGCAAAATTTTTATTTTTTAACAGGTGTTATAATTAAACTTCGAAATCTTAAGGTGTTAAAAACAAAATTAGGTCTTTTAACAGGTGTTTTTTTCTAATTTAGCCTTCTTTTAATATATATATTAAAGTTCAGATGTTCATTCTTAATGTTCACAATTTGGCAAAATGTTCATTCTTGTAATATCAGATGTTCATTCTTATAATATCATATGTTCATTGTTATAATATTAATGTTCACAATTTTCATACTATCAAATGTAATTAATTAACCAAAATTGAAAATGTAGATATAATCAATCAAAATTGCAACGAAATTTGGCAAAATTCCTCCATAATAATCAAATAAAATTGCTACAAAAAGTCTAGCTTGTAATTAATGTTGATAATTTAGAGTGTCGGAGTGGAGCGTTCGCCCTACGGAATCGCGCTCGCGCCAGCTAGGCGCGACCCGCGACAAAACCGCGCATAAACCGCGAAGAGTTTCTGGAAATCTGGCAATTCTTTGGAGGAGCACCCGCTCCTCCAGGTGGCGCACCCGCGCCACTATTAGGCGCGGCCCGCGCCTAAATCGCGTCAACTTTCTGGAAAATCAAAAAGTTGGGATTCCAGAAGAGGAGCGCCCGCTCCACCTTGAGGAGCACCCGCTCCTCCCGGTGGAGCGCCCGCGCCTCTTGCCGTTTTGCGGTTTTATGCGACGGTTGATTCTATTTTATATAGAATTGGTTTTTTCGAAAGAAGAGATACAGAACATTATTCTCTATTCTTCTCCCCAAGAATTCTCCATATTTTCTCAAAATTTTCTTGCAAACTATTTTGAGAAAACTTCTTGATTTTAGTCTTCTTTGTGATTCATTCATCGATTTTCGATTCTTTGTGCTAAGAACGGAAAGAGCTGTCAATTGTATCTCAAAGGGAATTTCCGGATTAACCCAAGCACCGTGTGGGGGAAATTAATCCCTTTAGTAAAGTATTCATACGCCTTTGACAGTGTATCAAGATCGAAGTCTTAAGGGGCAATTTGATTCTCATGTTCATGTGTGGTTCTTCGGCTTGGAGTTTAGGCAAGTGTAATTAATCTTCTCACTAGTGTTTTCTTTTGAAATTTCTGTAATTTCTTAGATTGTAATACTTGATTGGAACACCAATGTTGTGTTTGTTTAATTACATTACTTTGTTTTGTAATTATATATTTAGGTTTTATTTCCCACACATTTTATTAAGTATTTCTTGATATTATAAGTGATTTCTAGTTTGAAGTTCACTGTAAACCTAACAATTAAACAATTATGCTACTAGTACAAAGAAAATTGCAAAAATACCGTTTCTTCTGAGGTTGTTTTTCATATTCTTTAGATGTTGCTCTACTTTCATCTCAAATATCCATGTTTATGCATGTCATTTTGATCTCTAAGCTTTTGTAGTTTGATAAATTATGGTGGTTTTGAGAGGAAATAGAGAGAAAATGATGGTTAGAGAGATAAAGTGATGGGTGGAGAGAGAAAATGGGTATGACAGCTTTTAAAAATGAAAAATGGTTTTTTTTAAAAAAAATTCTTTTAAAAGAGGTTTGTATTTGATTTGACAACATGTGACTTGCTGACGTCACGCGTGCGTCTCATTGTTGTTGAAGCAATGAACGGTGTCATTTCGAGCGAGGGACTATATTTATATAGCTGGTCTTGAGACCAGCTAATTACTAATTGGGGAGATTAGCCAAAAATTTGCGATTAACAAGAGCAAGATTTGGGCCTGAAGGCACTATCCATTACATCAAGCTCATAGAAATCAACTCCAAAGCCTAAATCACCCAAAAAAAAAAAAAAAAAAAAAAAAAAAAAAAAAAAACCCTTTTATAAATGAACCAAAACTCAGAATTAGGGTTTCGTCTGCGCTCACCATTCTCGCGAGTTCGCTCGTCTTCTTCGCCTCTTCACCACCGTCAGCAAATCTCCAAAGCTCGCAATCATGGGGTTAGTCTCTCTCTCTTTCTCTCTCCTCTCCAAAATGGTGTTGAATTTAATCGCACCTTTAATCCATTTTCTTGCTTTATTGTGCTTCAAAATTCTCTTTTTGTTCAGCTGTTAATTTGGGGATTTATATTTTCTACATTCATTTCGTAATTGGTTTTATTCATTTCATAATTGTTTTTTTGTTACATTTATGATGCTCATATGGAAAAAATTATTGGGGTTTTATTATTTTCAGATTTGCTGTATTCAAGTACATTGGAACATTATTGTGTTTGTGTTAGATTGAAGTAGTAGTAATTGAAATTAGGTGAAGATTGATTGGGAGATTATTGGGTTAATTACCTGAGTTTGACAAGAAATTTGAATGGAATTGTAATGTGAAATGGATTATATGTCTGGTTACTGCGATAAGATTGACAGTTGAGGTTGCAATAGTTTATTGTACTCGCGGTGTATTGATATTATCATAAAATTGGAGCTTTGGTTGAGAAATTTATTAAATTTGATAGGCGTAAGATTTATGGAAATTAAAGTAATGTGTTTGTTGAAAACGGAGCTGTTATCGAGTGAATCATCTAATATGGAAAATAAAGTCATGTGTTTGTTGTAAACGGAGTTGTTATTGAGTGAATCTTCAAATATGGAAATTAAAGTAATGTGTTTGATGAAAACGGTGTTAATGGAGTGAATCTTCGCGGTGTACTGATATTGGAGTTTTGGTTTTGCGATTCATTAAATTTGATAGGCGTGAGATTTATGGAATTTAAAGTAATGTGTTTGTTGAAAACAGAGCTGTTATCGAGTGAATCATCAAATTTGATAGGTGTGAGATGTGTCGAAATTAGGGTAATGATTGTTTATTTGGGTCGGATTTGATGTAATGCTTGGGGAGTATAATTGTGTTGCTTTTTTCTTAATTTCAATGGCGTTTTCTTTCTTTTTAACATTGGTGAAATTGTTTTTGTGCAGTAAGACACATGGAATGGGAGCTGCGCGTAAGCTGAAGTCCCACCGCCGAAGGCAAAGGTGGGCTGACAAGTCTTACAAGAAGTCCCATCTTGGAAATGAATGGAAGAAGCCATTCGCCGGATCTTCTCACGCTAAGGGCATTGTTTTGGAAAAGATGTAGGATTATGTCAGCTCTCTACTTCTTTTGATTGTATATGCTTTTTTGTATGAGAAATTAACCAAAGAGTTTATGATGCAGTGGTATTGAAGCTAAACAGCCCAATTCTGCTATCAGAAAGTGTGCTCGTGTGCAGTTGATTAAGAATGGAAAGAAGATCGCTGCTTTCGTTCCCAATGATGGTTGTTTGAACTTCATTGAGGAAAATGTAAGTTCTTTTTATGAAAATGTCTGCAACCATATTGCACTTACTAGTTCATAAACTGCTTCTTGGTGAATTTGCTGTCACTTGGTGCCTTTTGAGACAAATTTAGTGGTAGCTGCTAGTTATTTTGACTATGAAATCATAGTGAGTTGTAGTGTAGGAGCATGATTTTTTTTTTTTTTCTTGTTTCTGCTTTCTGCAACTGCTTATGCATTAAGGAGGTAGAGATGATAGTTCGAAAAACTATATGTGGCAGTGTTGGTTGTGTGGCTGATTTGTATGCTGGAAACAGAACAAAGATAAGGTTGATTGTGGGGAAAACTGGTTTTGAATCAGAATTCTATTATTGGGGCCTTTGGGGGATTAGTGTCTTAAATAACAAAAACTCTAAACAACTCCAGTCATTAGTTTTTTTTAGAAATGATGCCATTTGTTTTCTGCTGAAAACTATTTGTAAAAATACTGGCATCTGATTACTGAAGGCTTAACGTTAATAATGCTTTCCTTGTATTATGAACTTTTGCTCCCAGTTTGTCAAGAAACATGTAAAAACATGATAGTGTGCACTCTTTTGGTGCTGGTTTATCTGATGCTTCTGCCAGTACTCCTGCATTCACTCTTGTGCAGTACATGGTGCAGCTATATTTTATGAATTAATACCAACTGTACAAATGTTGCGTCGAAGAGTATATAGCTTGAGAAAATAATATCAGTCGGACACTGTTAGTTTTTGATCCTTTCTAAGCTGTTCTAAGATATTGCTACTTCATACTACTTATCAAAGAACGATGACTCGTTTCCATTTTATGAAAGAATTTACCTGATTGGTAGAAGAATTCAAGGTCTTCTGTTACATAAGGCTTTGGAATCCTTATTTTACCTGTTTGTCTATATTCATGACCGGATTGTAATGGAATTTGACATTTTGTATAGCATTATCGCTTCGGATGCTCTGTCATTCCTTCCATTCTTATGGAGTTGTGGTTTGTGCAGGATGAGGTGTTAATTGCTGGATTTGGTCGTAAAGGACATGCCGTGGGAGATATTCCTGGAGTCCGATTTAAGGTTGTCAAGGTTGCTGGTGTCTCACTTCTAGCCCTCTTCAAGGAAAAGAAGGAAAAACCCAGGTCTTAGGTTAAGGTTGTTAGTTTAGTCTGAAATTTTGCTTACTCAAATGAAACTTGTACCCTCTTTAAATGGAAATTGAGTGTCCTTAAAAGAGGATACCCTCCCTACTTTGTTTTTGTGTTCTATTCGTGTGTATTCAAGATGGTTTTCTATATTCTTAGTTATTGCTTATACTCCATTGGTTTATTTACTTCTCTTACCCATGTAATGAAGATATAGTCGCCGGAATTCATGTCAACAAGATCACCATTTTTTAAAACATAAAAAAGTCTTTTGGTATGCCGAAAATTGCTTTAAAACACGAGAATTAACCATTCACTCATTCTCAGAGATTTGTTGATCATCTCTATGTATAAAATCTTACCGTTTGATTTTTTTTTTTTTTTTTTTGTTGACGAGACTATTTAAAACATTTGTCTAGAACTTAAAGATTAACTGAGGGTGGCTAAGTGAGCTGTGGCTTGTGGCTTGTGGCTTGCCCCAATTGTAATGTTATATGGGCATAGTAATTGGACCAACGCTGTATTATTGCCTACCTTATAGGCATTATTTTTGGGAAGCATCAAATTTCATATGTAAATTTGAGATAATTGTTGTAATTAAAACTTTGGCATTAGCCTGTTAATATAATTATGTCCCTTGGTTTTGTGATAGGTATAATTTCAAAAACTGACCTGTCTCTATGACCAACCAAAATCAAAGTGGAGTATGTTTGGGAAAATAGGCTCTTACATTTAGGCTCTGTTCTTTTGTGATTCTGGGCAGAGCAGAGCAGGAGTCAGCAGAGCAGAGCAGATTTCAGCAAAGCAGAGCAGAGCAAATTTCATTATTATTGCCACATTATTTATTATCTCAAAAACAGACAAATTCATGCAACCTACAATAAATTAGTGGGAAGCCGAGATATAATCTGGCCCCTACTCCTCTAGCTATAGCAAAGCCTACCCTACTGAAGATATGAGCTGCAGCACGAGCCCCAATGTCTTGCATCGCCGGGAACCTCTGAACTCGCTTCAGCAACGCAACAGACTCCTTCTCTAATTCCCAAGCGAAGAAAAGGAGAAGGGAATGAAACCATATCCAATCAGCCGACAACTAGCTTCATACTTCACCCGCTTCCGATGAGCCGCATCAGCCACAACCCGTCCAGGAACAAAGTCAGATAACCTTGTCTGTGTCAAAGGAGAAGACCCTATTAAGTCCACACATACATCGCGACCACGATCCCAGGAATAAAGTAACACATCTGCCGGTCGGAGGGCCCCGTCATTTCCTCCAGACAACCCTATGTCAACCTCCTTTCTTGCTGAAATCCCATATCTGTAGCAAATATCAACAAGGGTATCCCGGACAACATTATGCCGATGTTTAATACCCACAATACCAGCATACGACACCGCATGATCACCGAAAATATCCCCAGTAAAAACCCAAGAACAGGCAGAGCACGGCGTCGAGATAGAGAACAATGGAATACCCATCCGGTAGCACAACACACAACGGTAGGCCTTTGCGTTCATCGTCTGATCCAACCCATAAATAGGGACCGCTCGAAGCCAAGAAGAGGTGTGATCTCCCTGCTGCGATTTCCACAATGTTGTTTGCCGAGGAGACAAAGAAAAGGCGGATTCTGCATAAGCGATAACCTTTGTAAAATATATATCTGCCAATTTCTTCATGAGTTTTTGGGGCAGCAACCTAACTAGGATCTCATAATGTCAGACTCCACCGTTCTATTAAACAAGCTCAACGCATCCTCAAAGGCTCGACCAAGGCCAACAACGCCAGCATGCCGTAGAAGCCTTGTTTACAACCAGCAGACTGTAACTGGGAAGCAAGAAAAGCATAATGACGAACATCACCTGCAGAATAAACACTAAGCCCGCCATACGCAAAAGGCAAGGTGGCAAGCCGCCACTGGCAACCACCAAACCCAGGCCCTGAAGCAGTAACAATACGCTCTAAGGAAGATCGAAGAGCCGTGTCAAATGTGCGCTGAGTCGTCTCAAAAGTACTAGGAGGACAAGTACGCAATGCAAAGTAGAGTTTAGAACCTCCGGTACAAGCCCTAAGCAACAACAGCTCGCATTGAGGATCATCAAGCTTAGCAACCCTATCCATAAGCGCAATGGTCTTGGTCACTCTCTACATCACAAGATCACCTCCAAAACCGGAATCGGAACTAGCGGGACCACCAAGCAACTTAACACCACGCAAGAGTTGAGCAATATTAGGTGGAAAGACACCCATAAGCCTGCTTCGAGGATCTTCTGAAGGCCATAAAACTTTAGTTTTTCCACATTACGATGTAACCCAAAACGAGGCCCTTCCTCCATAATCAATTGCAGAACCTTCCCCCACCAACGTGTCACCAACAACAGTGTCGTCATCCAAATACCAAGCCTGAAGACATACATTAAAAGTGTCTCTGATTTACATACCAGGGGTCGTAAAACCAAAGCAAAAAGCAGAGGACCAAGGGGATCACTCTGTTGCACCCCCGAAACGACCATAAGGTGTGGTTCCCGTAATACAATCTAGCTGGATTAGAGTAGTAGAATTCAACCCATCGCGAAAGGCACGGAGAACGACGACAAACTTCACGTAACATGACCGCACGATCAACTAGATTCAAGGCATTTTGAAAATCCACCAATAACATAGAAAGGCCAACATCGGAAACACGATCCTCAATCAACCGATTCACAGCATGAAGAATCGTCTCACCTCCCAAAGAAAACCCAACACCAAATTGGAGACCATCAAAGTAACTTCCTAAAGACTGGCCAATCATAACAACACCGACCTTCGAAACCAGACGCCGCCAAACAGTATCCATAGCTATAGGACGAATACCACCACTAGGCTTGACAAGTGGTGTAAGAGGAGCACTAGCATTATACTCTCCTAGTTCCATAGGACACTTTCCAGCTAGAAAGAGATTAACCACCAGGGTAATAGAGTCAACTAACTCATCTGATACAGCCACAGCAGCACCACTCAAGCAATTCATAAGGTGCTGATCACGTAAACCGGGACCACATGATGTGCCACGTGGAAAACTCTTAATCCGATCCAAATTAACAGCAGAAGTAGTAACGAGATGAAGGCCATCAATAGGTATATCAAGCAAGGATGGAGCTGGAGAAGTAGGGTGTTTAGACTGTAAATCCGCGAGAGTGGCGTCATTATAAGGAGCAACGCCTGAAGAAGAAAGAACCTCGACTGTAGTAGTGTAATGGTTGTCACAAATCTTCCTACGACATTGCTTGACATTACGCTCCTCCAAATCAAGGTCCTCATCACCAACCACTGAAAAAGTAAGAGAATCCTCTGCTAAAGTATCCCTCACAAGCTGCAAAATACAACCTGGTGCACTCCAAGAACAAATAGCACGGGAAATACTCTCTTCTTGATGTCGACGTTTTACCGAAGACCTAGACTCAGAGCTGCTCCGCGAGTGAAAGGTTTTAAGGGTGCAAAGAAGTAACACCAACAAAGAGACCCAACTAGAAATGTCATCAGCCCTAGAGATCACCTTATCAAGGGCACCTTTCAGAACCCGAGAAAACCCCAAGCGGCACTTGGGAGGTATAGACTTCATAGTACGAAACCCCTTGGAGAACAAACAATCAAGAAGAGCCACGTCAAAACCACAATGTTGATCTTGCACCAAACCACCTATGCGCCCAAGCTGAGCCGGAGAAGAGGGACCTTGAAGCCTGGAGAATCCATGAAGCACAAAACGAACAATACCATACACAATATCACTCGAACTATGACGACACTTAGTACGATGCGTATGCATTTTGTAGCAAACCCCACATAACCAAATCCCCATATATACGCGAAAAAGTAACTTCAGCCTCAGTATAAACCGCCAAATTAGAAGTAAGAGCATGCCGTGTGATATCCCGCGCACCAATACAAAAATGACGATCACAAAGATGCTTGATAAGAGAACTTTAGTAAGACCATTGCCACTTCCATCTTGACAACCACTAAGACCCACAAAGGGACAATGAAACTTCACTCGAGTAACCGACATATCTACACACGTCGCAAACACGCTGCCACCACACAAAACCAAAAAAAACTAGCCAAAAACCAGAACAACTAGCCAAAAATCAGACCAAAACGGAACTTAACCACCACCAAAACGCCGAGCAACTGCCTCAATCACGCCGAAAAACTGACCCACACCACCTGAAACCAGAAACTCCCGCCGAAACCTGTTGCAAACTGCCTGAAACTAGTCCTTAAACCGCCTGCCAAACGCCTGAGAATAACCTAATAAAAGCCAGATGATCGCACTACAAAAACCGCCGCAATTATGCACCAATGATGCCGGAAAACCGCATGAAATTCGCCCAAAAACCTGCCTAAAAATCGCCTAACTGCTAACCCAACACTAGATCTGACAAACCGCCGAAGAAAGACACACCAATTAATTAAGCCTGAACTACACCTAATTAAGCCCGAAACTGCACCAAATAGACGATGAAACTGCACCAAAAAACTGCCGAAAAAAGGAACGTGGAAACCGGTCGCCGACACCTGACCAGAACGCAGAGAACCGATTGCAGGTTAGTGACGGAAAAGCCACCGAAAAAGGACCGAGGAAACCCACCCTGTTGCCCAGCCCTAATCACCCCTAAACGAGGCATTATTATTATAATCATTAAATATTATTATTAAATATTAATTATTATTACATATTAATTATTAAATATTAATTATTTATTAGGAAAAATTCATGGGAATAATCCCACCTTTGCGCCATTCGTTTTTAATAATCTCACCTTTGGATTATTTTTTAATAATCCGACCTTTACCCCCCATTCATTTTTATTGATCCCAACCGGTCAAGTGACCTATTATACCAAGTTACCTGACACTTGGCAACCTGTGATTGGTCAAAAAATAAATTAAAAAAAATCAAAAAAAAAAAAACTCCCAGCCACCCCTGTTCCTCTTTCCCCTGCCCTTACCCTCTTTCTCACCTCCATGAATTCCGACATATACTCCCAGCCACCTTCACCGCCCTTCCCCAACCATCCTGTTGCCTTTCCCAACTTCCCTAGCTACCCCAACCACGACCACCCACCTCACCTCCACCCAAAACTCAATCACCCCTCTACTCAACCCCAACCACCGCTCCTTTACCACCTTTCTACCCCACTTGAAACA